CACTTGGGTCACTTGGGTCACTTGGGTCCCTAGGCCTTCTAGGCCTCCTAGGCTACCTGATCTATAGTAAATTATATCACGTACTACATTTTATAAAGTGATCTACACTAATTAAGTACCAATAAGAATATCAAAGAATATTAAAAAAATAATTATAAATAAACAGATAAAAATGGAAATAGAATGAAGATCATGAATAAAAATAACTATCCAATAGTATTAGAGACTATTTTCATTACACTTTCTCTCCTTAAAAGGTGAAGTCCTCTAAGTCAAGTTTTCTTACATAGGGAATAAAATTATTTTGATAAATTTCATTAGTCATCCCAAATAAATAGTTCATGAACAAAAACTTTGCTCAATAAATTTGGTTTGGAGTGTCTTAAAAGATTTCATATGTGCACTTAGCTATGCAATAATAGTGGTGAAAATTTTGAAATTGATTTTCCTGAAGATATTGTTGCACAATTGTTTGGAATCCTGAATAATATTCAATAGTTTTCTCAAATAATATAAATTGATCAGAGTAGCTATAGGATCAGATTGTTATATGTGTTGCTTGATTTTCAAAAGAGTATTTTTGATACTATTCTTTATTGGTGTGATAGGGTTGTATAGGGGTTCATACTAGTTTGGAGTTTTATCCAAAATGGATAACATATCTATTTTAAGTAAGTCTAGTTTTATTGTAACTGATTGTTGGCAATTGAGTTTGGGTATTTTTATAGAAATTTTCCCATGCATATATCCCTTAAATATATTTTAAGTTTGCGCTATTGATAATTAATCTATCCCAATTTAGTTTGATATAATGGTTTGTCCAATTGATTATCAGTTTCTATTCAATGATAAATAGATAGGCTTGATGAATGGTTTATCACTAATTTCCATATTTAATATCTTGATTTTCTTGAAAATATCTCGTGTCAATAAACTTGAGCATACTATTGAATATTTTAATCCAATAGTCAGTTGTATTATATTGATGCAAGAAAAAATGAAATTCCTTGGTCAGACTTTATTTCACTGTCATTGTTCAGAATATGAAGCAGAATTGACCTTTTTTCAGATTGAACTTTCTATACTTTATATACAATTTAGAGCTCAGAGATACCTTGCAGTAGCTTTATCTTCATGGTCAAGAAGCTATAATCTAATATTGACAACAGATAACTTTGCTTCTTCAAGTAAATTCAAGACCATTGACTTTGGAGCTTTCTCAATAGTTAGCAGTATGCTTAGAAATTCAAGCACTTTATCTCCATATAGAAGAACTATAGGTCCAACTAGCTTAAACAAATATCCTTCTAAATTTACCTTCCTTTAGAGCTATTAGTGAGTGGCAGATAAGTTTAATCAATCCTCCTTTCTGGAGTATTTCTTCAGCTTGGGAATCCTTGCATTCGGGTCAAAGACCAACTTATGATTCTAATCCTTTTCAAGTTTCAAATAATGTGTAATCCAAAAAAAGGAATCAAATAATTAATTTTGCTATTTGTTTTTTAATAAAAATTTCTTTTGTTACTTGATACAGAAATATTTTGTTGTCACTATAATTATTTGTGGGCTGGTGATTTGTAGTATAAGGTAATGCTCTGAAGGCCCTTATTCCATATTTATATTTTTCACTTCTAATAGATATTATATGTCTTAACACTTACACATAATTGTCATGACTATTAAACTATATTGTCATGTTCAAAGAAGATAAATTAATAAGCAAGGTAAGAGAAACTATAATTAAATAAATAAAATATAACATAATAAAAAAGAAAATAACTAAAATAAGTGACTTTTTTGAATACTATAGTCTCAAACACTACCCTGTGTTTGGCACTACATAGCTGATTAGCTTGAAGGCATATGTCATAGGTTTCCCACGTTTCCAGAAAATCAAGGTTATCTATAACTATGTATATGGATTTAATAAGTCATTTAGTACAAATAATGTTTTTGTTTTTCCTATAATATATAATGTCCTATAACTATATAATAATACTTGGCTCCCAAATTGGTTATTCATAATATCTTTTCAATCAATTAGAGTTCACTGCCCTTTTAAGTACTTTGTCTTTATGTTCCTTAATTTGTATGCTCCTGATGTGATGATATTGTGAATATAATATGGTTCTATCTATTTTTTCCTAAATTTATTACCATGTATCTTTGCTTTTACTAATTCATATAATAAAACTTTATCTTCTATATTGAATTTTTGAATTTTGATTCCCTGATCATGATATTGTTTTTGTTTATTCTGTGCTTTTTCAATATTTTGTTGTATACTAATCCTTAAATTATTAAGATCATAGTAATAAATTTAATATATTGCTATAGTTGTTGATCCAATATGTCATTAGATTCCCATTTGTTATCCTAAAGATCAATAGGTAACCTTGCTTCACAGCCATAAAGTAGCTTAAATGATGAATATTTAGTAATATGATTTTAAATAGAGTGATAGGCAAATAGTGCTGAGTCCAAAAAAGTATTCTATGTATTATCATAATCACTAACATATTTAGATAGAATGTTTTTAGTAATAATATAATAGGTGACTAAGTTAATATATCTAACTGGTGAGTTATCAGTTGCAATTATATCCTAGTATTGTTGAATCAAATGGTTGAATTGATTTTGTTGTTCTTGGATTAAATCAGGTGGTTTGCCCAGCTCCTTTTTATGATTCATATTCAAGTATTGAATGAGTTTCCAATCCTTAGCTTTGAGTTGACAAGTGATACAAATAACAGATTCCTATTCTAAGTAATAATCACACTAATGGATTGTTTTTGATCCTTTCCATCCCTTTTGCAGAGGTTTAGAAGTTAAGAGCTGTTGTTGCATAGCTTCAAGTTCTTGAATGTAAGTTATTGATTCCTAATACTATTCAATAGTAACTATTGACTTATTAATTTCCATCAGTTGTTGTTTATTAAAGTTTCCCAAGAGAACATAGTAAGTTTGATTCTTATCTAAAGTTTCCTCATATTCCAATTTATCAGTTGAATTATAGATTTTCTTTTCCTTTCCCTTATCCAACAATTCAATTCCTATAAGTCTTCCATTATCATCAAATTTTGATTTTTCCAATATGTAACCTTGCATCGAATATTTTTGCCCAAATAATTCAAGTCCATAGTTTGATGGTCATAATTAATAATACCTTGGTTTTTGTGATCTAGTCATTTCCCATAATGACAGTATATTGAATTGATTCAGACATATTCACAATTATAGGTATGGTAATTCTTTTGATAGTAATTAGTAAATCCTTTACCTTGTCCAATAATCATTTTTTTTCTTCATTTATATCCACAAGACTGATATAAGATGATTTATGAATAGTACATCCTAAATAATCTAATTATGGCTTAGAAATTATACTGCTTGTTAACCCAGCATCAATAATTAAATAAATGGGATAGTCACCAATTTTTGCATCACAATACAATGCTTCTACAACTTTTGAGTTAGTTAATTCAATTGATTCAGGTATAGAAGATATTGATGTAAAGGGATTTGAAAGTATAAGGGATTCCTGAACCTCCTTAGGTCCTCTTAATCTTTTAAATAGTAGTTTACTCGCTCCATAGCATTAATAAAGTCCTGTATAAAAAGATTGAGCCATTAATTACAATTGTTGGATTGATTGCTAAAAGATGATTGGTTGTTGCTAAATCCATTTCCATTCGTTAAATTGTTAGTATTCTTTTGAGAACATTGATTGGCCAAATGTCCAGATTGGTTATAAATAAAATATCTCCTTCTATTGTTATTATTGTTAAATTGATTTCTATTGTTATTATAGTTATTGTTATTATAAGATCTATTAAAGTTATTATCATTGTTGCTATTATTGTTGTTGCAGTATGACCTATAGTCATGTTGCAAATGTTCAACTTTTTCACAGTTGTTGCAGGTGCGAGTTTTCCTTTGGTTCTCAATCTTATTATTGTTATTAATATTATTATCAGTATATCTCCTATTAGTTGAAGTTGCCAATTGTTGAAATCCTTGAGAGAGTTGGATGATTGCTGTTTTAATATTCTTGAGTTTATCAGTATCATGATTTAAATAATTGCATCTCAAAGAATAGACACTCAAAGTAGAATTCCTAGAGTAGGCTGATTCAACAATATGAGCACAGTTGATAACTTCAACTATATTGAGAGGGCAAGAAATTTCAACTGGTTTCCTCAATTCATCCCTTAATCCATTAATAAATTGCCTGGTTTTATCCTCAAGAGAGTAGTTGTTATTAGAATCAATGCACTTGTAAAGAAGAGTTATTGCATTCAGGTATTTCATCCACAGTTTCTCCTGGTTTTTGTATTCATTACCTTAATTGATTCATCCACCTTGAAATAATTTTTTAGATTCTAAAAAAAAATATTTTAAAAATTTTTATATGAACAAAATTTTTAATCAAATTATAATTAAAATTTTTCAAAAGTGAATGTTCTACATTGTATAGTAAATTAAATGAAGATTTTGAAGAAGATAATGAATTAGATTTAGATAAATATTTAATTAATAAAAAAAATTATCTTTAGTGAATATTTGGCTTTCAGTATTGAGGGTTAATATAGAAAGAAGTTTTTTATCATATAGAAATATTCTTAGTGATAAATGGTATTTATTTATCAGAGGAATCAATTTCCTTTTTTTCGCATTTTGTATTTTTTTACATACTATATAATAAATTACCGTACACTTATTTTTGATTGGTAAGATTTGGTGCAACTCGAGTCACGTAGTGTTTACGCGTGATAAATTATATAAATTATGTCAAGTCATAATCTTTCTTTTTTTTTCATTGTATCTTACAAAAATTAAATGTCTTATAAAAAGACTAAGAAAGTTCATGAAGTTTCAAGACGTTAAAAAAGGCAAGTAATGCGGGTCGCTAATGAACACTATGGTTTTGCCTCAGCGTTCCTCCAACAAAGAGACAGTAAATAGGCATCAGCCAAGAATGGTACTCTTTATTAGGACTCCTACTTCTGCCTCATTGCACTCCACGTTGTTTCGTCCCACAACGTGATTCGAGTTGGTAGCCGGGAGTCCAATATTATAGTAAGATTATCGATATGGTCACTCTTTGCAGGGGTCTACTGGCTTGGAGGAGAGTCGGTTATGTTTCTTCCTTTGCATCTAAGGAGGGGACCGGTCCGTAATTCTCACCTGGACATTAATCATAATTCAAGACTCATAATGGAATCTCTACATTTTAGGTCCTTTATTTCCCACGAGTTAACTAATCTCCCTACGGAGCCTCCTCCCTCGAGATGGTCATCATGGAAGGACTTTATTAATAGATGAGATAATAAATGAGACAGCAAATATACTACATTTGTGCATTATTATCCATGAGAAAACTAATTTGATCTCTCGAAAATAAATTTTTAAAGATAACTAGAAAAACTTTGCGAAATTTCAAGATTCTTAAAAGGCAAGTAATACGGGTCACTAATGAACACTATGGTTTTGCCTCGGCGTTCCGTCCAACAAAGAGGCAGTGAATAGGCATCAGCCAAGAATGGGTACTCTTTATTAGGACTCTTACTTCTGCCTCATTGCACTCCACGTTGTTTTGCCTGCAACGTGATTCGAGTCAGTAGCCGGGAGTCCAATATTGTAGTAAGATTATTGACATTGTCACTCTTTGCAGGGTCTACTGGCTTGGAGGAGATTTGGTTATGTTTCTACCTTTGCATCTAAGGAGGGGACCGGTCCGTAATTCTAGCTTAGACATTAATCGTAATTCGAGACTCACAACGGAATCTCTACATTATAGGTCTTACTCCTACGTATTAATCAATCTCCTATGAAGCCTCCTTCAAGAAGGGTACCACTACAGAAGGTCTTTACTGATAGGTGAGATAATAAGTAAGGAAATCGGCTGTAGCACTATAAGGTTACTCTTCCCGAGATTTTTTTATAATCAGTTGTGTTTAGTTTAAATTGATCATTTTTTAATCTGCTGACTAAATAAAATAAAAAGATGATTCTTTCATAATTAACTCTTGATTGCCAATCAGATACTATGCACCTCGCCTTCTCCATTTGCTGCAAATAAATAATTCTAAGTTAACGTCTCAGAAATTAATATTTTTCACCGGTCGCCCTTATTTAAGTTTTATTAATGCATGTAGGCCTCTATTTTAAATGATTTTGTCACTATTATGTATTATCTAATTTAATTTCAAATTATAAGTCTATTTGCTAATTCGCGTCATTCCATTTCGCAGCATTATATTGCGTTTCTTTCTTTTTTTTTTTTCTTTGATGGTAAAGATATCCAGGTGTTAGTGAAACATCTTTTAGTTTGACAAGGAAGAAGCTACGAGTGAAATTGTGATATCTTGATTAGATCCAAGGGAGTCATAATGACTTAAACTTATATTAAATATAATATAAAAAATTTAAATATTTAATATAATTAAAGATTTATAAACAAAGCTTGTAATTTTAAAATTTATTTTTTTAATCCAAACGTCATGATATTTATTTATTAACTTTATATAATAACTTTCATTATAGTATTAGTTCAGGGATTATATTGAAAATATAAAAGTTTACTAAACTACTTTTTCAGGTACCTATATTGTTCTTGATAAAGGATTATTGACTCTGGAAGAGGAATTGATCATGTATCTTTTAATCAAATTAAAAAAAAAAAAAAATTTAAATATTACTAAATGGAGTAGAAATAACATAATTATGATATTTCCACTTAGTCTAGGTTATGCTGTGTGGATAATGAAACTCAAGTCATTCGAGGGATGGGTGGATCATAAAACTCGAGCAAGCCATTCAAGTGACAGGTAGATCACAAAATTCAAATTCGACATCGATAATGTTTTAATCACTTATATAGAATTTCGTATATCGGCTTAATGTTTCTGATCAATTTCCATTGTAAAATATGCGAATTATTGTGATCTTGCATTGTTGTCATTTTATATACCGCATAGAATATTTAATGAATAAATTAATCGCAAATCCTATATCCGATCATGTTACTGGGTTATGTTTGATGATCTGACCGCATTTTATACATCATTAGAAGGCAAATAGTGAGATTCTAAGTGTATCACACAAATGCTATCAATAATGCTATCATGTATATGCTACCGAAAATACCATCAAAATGTTATCGCTCATATTCACTATCCTAAAATTCATTTAAAACGGATTCACTCGCGTCCAAGAACAAAAAATCGTCTAGGTTCCGTCCAAGTAAAAATATGCCAACTGGGACGAATAATATTAAATTTCACTTATGTTATATGTATGTTATATGAAGTGTGCAAAAATTTTTGTCATAAGTTGTCATGAGTTGTCACTAGTTGTCACTAGTTGTTTACAGGTACTTGTGACGGCTGTTTGAGAGTTTTGAACCTTTCTTAATTACTTCTTTATATCCGTCACAAGTTACTTAAGTAAAATAGTAGATTTCTAAGGAAAAAATAAAACTCTTTCCTATTGTATATCTTTGATATATATCCGATGCATATACCCATTACATATACCTGATACATACACATATACCTAATATATACAGTACATATATACCCGATATGTATGCCTAGTATATATACTGTGCCTAATATATATCACCTTTAATATATACATATGGTATACCTATATAAAAAAAATAAAAAAAAAGGTGGAACTCAACAAATTAACCTAAGAAACTTGTGACGCTTGTGACAGTCATCGAGAATAGTTTTATTCGAACTCAGATTCTCAAGAACCTAACTTTCTACCAATTTTTTTACTTGAGACTAACTCGTGATAACTTGTGACAGCTATCTTAAAAGTTTCGGCTTATTTTATTAACTTCTTGATCTCTGGTCTTAGATCCATTTTACATATTTCTCCAGTTCTAAGAATATAAGGATAATGATAAAATTCCATATTTATGCTAAATTCTTTGATAAAGTATATATTATATACTGTATCTAACACTAATTACTCAAAATAATTAATTTTAATTTCGAACTTTTCTCTAAAAACTATTATAGTTTCAAAATAACATAAGTGTATTATGGATACCCAAAACGCACCATCAGAATTTATTCCCCCCACTGAATTCGTTCCACCTATTGAATTTATCCCATCATCTTCTGAAAATCTTGAGCCAGAATTCGAGCCAGAAGAAAATAGCGGGGGCCTTCTACCACCGGGGGGCAAAGCCGAGAATGTGGCTGAATATAGGTATAAATTCGTGATGATAGTATAAGGCCAAGACAGTTCCTGGGAACGGATACTGAAGATAGAATAGAAGCGATACTTAGTGAACGGAAAGGACATTCATTACACGAATTCATTGATGTAGATGAGCCTCTCTGTCCTATTATTGATTTTGATTTATCCCGAGAAAAATTTAATAAAATTGAACCTAAACTTTCACTTAAAGAGATACAAGATATACTTTGTCGTGCCTTTAAGGAAGTTTATTTAGAGATATACCTAGATTGGTAACCCAATACTTTAACAATTGCCAGTAGTGCAATAAGAAAAAAATATTGCTTAATATCTCTACTTTCGGCTTGAGACTTAAAAATATTGCTAAGGTTGCAGTGTTTATCGAACTCGTTCGCAAAAAACTTCCAACATATTTACAAGAAAAAGATATTGTTGATAATATTGCGAATAAATGTTCATTCTCTTTACAAATACTTGGAACCCCAAAATTTACTAAAGAAACAAAAGGGTAAAAAAAGCATTTTATTCAAAAGATAGTCTTGTTTTCGATTTTATGCTTCGTCCACCTAATGATGAGGTACCAGTTATATATAACCCTCTTTTAATTGCCCCAGAGCCAGTATCGACAATAATATATAACTTCCAGAATAAAGCAACTGATACTACTGAAGTTGAGCTTTAGGTACTGGAATCATTACTCAAAGATGCTAATATTGAAGGATACGAGTTATTTCTTCGAACAGATAAATTTCCTGATACATTCCCTCTCAAGCGCATAACCTCATCATCTCATCATACTGCCCATTATGTGAGCGAGAATTTGGCAATAAAGAACCACATTATAGTGAAAGTGCATACGTTATCCGAAATAAAAAATCATATAGTTTTTATTGCCACCGCGCGAACCAAAATAGGAAGCCTGGTGCAAAAAAACCCTCATTAAAGTTCGTTATCGATGAAACAATCTTGGATCGGGAAAACAACCTTCCAATCCCAGAGAATTAAAACCGGTCCAGAATTTCAAATCTAAATGATCATTTCATATAAGGCGACTTACTTCGTATGTGTATGTCTAAGAAAAAGTTTACACGTGATGAAGTGTATAGTGTAATTCAAGCAACAATAGCATGCGTCGAGCAAAAAAAACTAACATGGGTAGTTAAATTTAAAAATTCTAATGGTCTTTATTTTTTATATGAGTTGTGAGCCAGAACCTGCAAAGCATACAATTAATATAATTGAGCATGGAGAAGAAGCAGTAAAATTAATTTCTTTAATAAATCGAGTAGTTGTTGAAAATTTAATACAAATCTATTTTCTCCCATACCCACCAAATGTAATCTCACTAAAGACAAATTTCTTCAATCTCTTCTTGAGATTTCTAGCTAAACCAATAAAAGGTGGAAATTTTAATTTGCGATGGAAAGGAAGAGCTTAATAAATATATTTTGAACTGGTTGGAATTTTTAGTACAAAAACCAGAAAAGAAACCTCGATCAATTTTAGTATTAAAATTCACTTTACAACAATGTTGGAAAAATATTATTACTGATTTTATTGGTGATAAGGTATTTGGGCTAATCTTTCATTATGCGACATCTGATCTAGGGGAAAATTCTTGGAAAGTTTAACTGCGTTATTCAAGGCAAAAGACTCGTAGTTATGAATGAATCCAGTATGTCTAGTGGTGAGTGGCATAAGTTTAATGGCCACCACAAATCTCTTATAACAGAAGGAAGAGTAAGAATAGAACGTAAGGGTCTCAATACTTTAAGAATAAATGATTATAGTGGATTTATGGTCACAAGTAATCAGGATGCTCCACTTAAAGTAGAAGTAGGCGATGCTTGTATAGTTGTTTTGACGTATCTGCACGTTGTAGGGGTAATATTGAATATTTCGATCGACTAGGAGAAATTCTTGATCATCCCGATGCACCATGTCATATCTTCTTCTAAACCGTGATCTATCAAAATAGAGTTCACAGAAATTCCCTACCACTAAAATGAAAACAGATACAATAACGAACCAACTCCCAAATCCCACCCGCTTTATAATAAAACATATTAAATCATGACCCAAAAATCAAGATTATCTTACTTGGTGTGGGAGTGAAGATGAGAATCGAATCAATAATAATAAATTTGGAGGTTTTCTCTCATCGATAGGGATTAAGAAAAAGCAGGTACGAATTCATGGGAAAAGTGAATGAGTTTATATCCTCAATCGTTCCAAAAATCGTGGCTAGGTTGCGTGAATTAGTAGGTGGTGTCGAGGAATTTTCAGACTCACCTCAAACAGAGACATTTTCCAACTAATTAACAAATATTCCAATATTTAATGTTTCAGAAATCGTAACTCCCGAACCAGAAAAAGTAGAATCGCTCTATCAAAAATAGATCACATCGAAAAATGTAAGAAAACATCCGCCCCACCAGTTACTAAAATGACCCAGGATTTCTTCGATTCTATAACAAATAAAAGTTTAGTTGCTTTGTCATCGATGCCTACCGATTTATCCATGATTCCAGAGATCGAACACGTAGAACCATCAGATGATAAATCTAAATCTCCAGAAATTATCGAGGAATCAGAGATTCGAGGCTATACCTCATCTGTGTAAAACGAGCCCGAGATATCTCCCAACTTGCCTTCGAACAACGAACTAAAATACAGCAATAAAGAATCCCGCATCCAATCGAAAACATATCCATCTGGCTATTTAACCCGGGAGCAACGAGAGGTTCGATTAAGGCAATGGGCTATAAATAATAATGAAGACCCTTATAAGTTCGTGACTATTAGAGATAAAGACAAAAGTAATTCAATAGATTATCTCACAAGAATAGATATTGACGCAAATACCTGTCTCTTAATATAGAAAAAAGTAATAACCCCCACGATTTATGGAGATGTCGCATAGGAAAAGATTGATAGGAGAAGAAATCTTGCGCCGTAGACTTGAAGATGCAGGCGGACCCATATGACTTGATACCGATGAATAATGGATTAAAAATAGAACCATACTTCAGGAAAATGGATTACTATGGTAAATGGCTCGATCAGTAAGGAGTGGATAAGTAGATTTTGTAGGTAGGAGCTTAGATATAAGGAAATTTTTTTGCTCCTACAAACTAGTCAATATAAAAATTTTCCGACAAAAATATTATATAAACTATGTGTTCTTTATGCGCTATATATATCGATACCTAAATAAAATGAACGATCATGAATTAGAAACTTCGGAAAAAGTACTTATTGACTGACCGGATGATAAATCTAAATGGGACCAAAATTCCGTAAATTAATCCGCAACAGGTATAGACATGTCAATGATTTATCAAATTACGAACATATCGATTATGGCTGTTCCGAGCATATAGCCTTCTTATTTAATATATGGAAGCCAGCAGTAATACCACCACCTGATATACTGTATTACAAAGCAGGCCAGACATACATTACAAATATCTCGTAAATGTAGAATCATGCCAAGGTTCTTTTTTATATAAAACTTGATTATAATCTGGATCTGACTCAAGGCATTGACGTGTATCATATACCTGGTATATATCGATTATTTTTTCCAGGACCTCTTTAAGTAATGTTATATCCTTTTTGATGCCTTCTATATTTTTAGTAATTTTATTACGTAGAGCTATGGATTCAAAGACTTTTGACCGAACTCGTGACTTGTTCGCGTCCATTTTCTGATAGAATTACAATAACCACGACCCATTCAATTTTCCCTATATATTAGTAAATTTAAAATCGACTACCGGTTACATATGTAGTTATATACTCTCTTTTTCTGAACATGGGAGGAAAAAGTATAATTAATTTCGAATTGAAAAAATATTTTTTATAGTGTATATAACCTAAAGAATTGTTCATAAACTACTTGACCTATTATAACATTCAATCATGTCAGCCATCGCAACTAAAATCATTGAAAACACAATATCAACCCCAAGATGAGTGTGACAGAACTCAGTCAAAACACCTCAGAGTTTCTCGAGAATCTTACCGATGATAGAAAGCGGAATCAGGCACGTCGACGCCTTCGCGATGGTTAAATTTAGTGTTGATCAGGTAGGTTTATTGATACCTAATCAGAGAGGTGAAAAAAATAAAACTATAAATTTAGTTGAAGGTAATTATAGAATAACGCTCCCAAAAAGTTCGGAAGAAGAGATCATCAGAGATAACTAAACGAATCTTATAGAATAGATATGGTTTTAGTGAAGTCCAAGTGGATGACTTATTCTCTATTCAGAAAAATGACCAACCCAAAAGCAAAACCACACACAAAGTGCCTTGTTCCACAGTAAACATTGTTATTTCTAAGAGACAAGAAACAATTGGATAAACTTAGTATTCGAGATGTAAGAGCTGAAGCTTATGCCTTAGCCCTATCAGCAAAAAATGCTAATGCTGGTTCATCACGTCTTTCCTGACTCCGAAGAAAATTAAAAAGCCTTGGTGCTTTACCCGCAATAATCGATGCTACAAAATTTCCAGGTATTACAGAAGAATCTAACAAAATACAGAGGGGTAATCAGAAAAAGGCTGAAGCTAATTTTATTGACTATCCGGATCATTTTACGTTAGAATCAGTCAAAGAGAGATTAGATAGTTATGATATACATACTGTATCTGATGTACAAGCTCTTGTACATATTATGATAATGCTTTGTATTCTCCCACTGAACTTGTAACTACGCATTGCAGATGTTGGTGTGATAGGCTATGCAAAGAATAGTGTCAGCCTGACACCCCTCGAAAATTTAGATTAATGTAAAAGAATCAAGAACAAGCCAAAGAATTACTAACCTGGATACAGAATGCTATATCTTCTTGTCTAATGGGTGATCCAGGTAAGCCAGGAGTTAAATAGTTCAATAGATTCTTAAAAGATTATGATTTAATTCATAAATACTTACGAAAAATGGGTGCCGTTTATGGTGTGGTATCACATAAGGCTAAAAATATGACCCACGCTTATACAAAATGTCTATGTCATTCATCCGATAATCATACTTCTGTGCAAAATTATGTTGTAATAAACTATAGGAAAAAAGGACAGTCCCCAGATCAAGCAAGACCTTTCCGAATCTATGATCAAGAACAATCATGCTTCTTCACTTTCACTACACCCACAATAAAATTAAATTAATAATTCATATCAAAGTATTGGATGTGTTTGTTTCCAACTGTTAATATCGGTGCAAAAGGGATGTCTCTGAATCTATTTTTAAAATAAGATAAAACATGACTAAAAAGTTCGTTAGATGGTACCTGCTTCAAAATTTTTTCGCTGATACTTTCTGTTATTTTGATTGCTCATAAAACAAGAATGAGATCCCACCTTTATAGTTATATCTCGTTCTAAGACATTTCTCGAAAAGTTTCTCGAGAAGAGATTACAAAGATAAATCGTTAAAAATTTAATTCTTAAAGGATTATCCCCCTCACATGTTATAAAGCATAACTAAAACTTGATATACTCAGTTAGACATACTTTCAGATGCTATATATAATGAAGTATATAGAAATAATGTTGGCGAAAAATCACTGCCTCAAAACAGTCAATCAATATCAACTACCTTCATAATACCTGGAGTTAGAAATTTTTGGTAATAATAACTCTCTGCTGATTCTACTATGGCCACGAGTTTCGATTTGGAGCGAAAAAACGAAAGAAAATATGGTGAGACTTCGCACATTAGGCATGTTTTTTCATCAGCCCAAATTTCAGAAAACCGTTTTGGGACCATTGCCGTCGCCTCAGGTTTAAAGTTGAGCATGCATACCAACATGAAGAAGCTCAGAATAAACCTTTTGATTTAAGGTATTGTCAATCTATCCAATTCACCTCTTAGAAATCAGATAGAAATAGAGAACTAGTGTAGGGAAACACTAAGTTAGACTTTAATGTATAATATTCGTGAAGTATTTCAGAAGAACCCAAAGGATAAACTCTATATTGCACTAGAGACAACAAAAAAAGTCGCGCACGGTATTTATCTTGAAGGTTATTGTCACATCTTTAGATCGCAATGTTTTAAGAATGCTTTTGGGGAAACAATCGTCAACTTTTTCGATCTTGCCAATCCTCTAGTTGCGAAAAATGCACGAAATGCAATTGACCGTTATTATTAACATATCCTTAACAACCCCATCAATCAGTCTAAAAAATTCGCCAGTATATGATAGAACATTTTTGTAGTTTCACTAATAGCAACAACGAACCCTACACTACTGTCTAGCCATTGCCAAGAACATCTCGCGTGCGTTCAAGAATTAATTCAAAGGCTCCAACCACTCTCAGATATAATAAACAATTATTTTCATAATACTATCTAACCATATATACCAAGATGAATAATCTCAATCTCGGGCCAAACGTTCCTAAATCATTCGGCGCCTTTCCTACCGTTGGTATCAACTATAACACAATCTCCCAGTTCCATAAGATCATCGAAATACTCTCTGTGTTATATGCCCGCTTGAGAATTTCGAAGGAGGAGAATTAGCATTTTCCGAGTTAAAGTTGGCTGTCCACGTTGAGCAAAGTCAAGCGGTGGCTTTTTGATTAAACCTCCTGGTTTATGGAAGTCTGCCGGTCATTTCTGGAGTTCGCCACAGCGTCATTTTTTATATTCACAGTACGGTATTAAACAAAAACGAAAGTTTGGTTCTCTTTTCGCCGATTACGACTTGGACTGGGATAATAATAGCAATAAAGATGAGCCATTACCAAAATATCTTCCACTGACATTAGGTTCTGGAGATAACGATGTGAAACTAAAAAATCATAGACGAACGAATATAGGTATGTGTAGGCGAGATAAAGTTCATTTATATCTGTTAGACAAGATCTGATATTTATATAAGTGATTAAAACATTATCGATATCCTGTCACTCGAATGGCTTGCTCGAGTTTTATGATCCACCCATCCCTCGAATGACTTGAGTTTCATTATCCACACGGCATAACCTAGACTAAGTGGAAATAACATAATTATGTTATTTCTACTACATTTAGTAACGTTAAATTACGTTTAATTTTTTTTTTTTTTTTTAATTTGATAAAAAAAGATACATGATCAATTCCTCTTCCAGAGTCAATAATCCTTTATAAGAACAATTTAGGTACCTGAAATAAGAGCACCTGGACATCAAGACAGTAGTTTAGTAATCTTTTATATTTTTAAATAATATAATATAATCCATGAACTAATACTGTAATGAAAGTTATTATATAAAGTTAATAAATAAATATCATGATGACGTTTGGATTAAAAAAATAAATTTTAAAATTACAAGCTTTGTTTATTTGTTTATAAATCTTTAATTATATTAAATATTTAAATTTTTTATATTATATTTAATATAAATTTAAGTCATTACGACTCCTTCGAATCTAATCAAGATATCACAATTTCACTCGTAGCTTCTTCCTTGTCAAACTAAAAGATGTTTCACTAACACCTGGATATCTTTACCATCAAAGAAAAAAAAAAAAGAAAGAAACGCAATATAATGCTGCGAAATGGAATGACGCGAATTAGCAAATAGACTTATAATTTGAAATTAAATTAGATAATACATAATAGTGACAAAATCATTTAAAATAGAGGCCTACATGCATTAATAAAACTTAAATAAGGGCGACCGGTGAAAAATATTAATTTCTGAGACGTTAACTTAGAATTATTTATTTGCAGCAAATGGAGAAGGCGAGGTGCATAGTATCCGATTGGCAATCAAGAGTTAATTATGAAAGAATCATCTTTTTATTTTATTTAGTCAGCAGATTACAAAAAAATGTTTATGATACGATTCAACCATTAAAAAATGATCAATTTAAACTAAACACAACTGATTATAAAAAAATCTCGGGAAGAGTAACCTTATAGTGCTACAGCCGATTTCCTCACTTATTACCTCACCTATCGGTAAAGACCTTCCGTAGTGGTACCCTTCTTGAAGGAGGCTTCTTAGGAGATTAGTTAATACATAGGAGTAAGACCTATAATGTAGAGGTTCCGTTGAGTCTCGAATTACGATTAATGTCTAGGCGAGAATTACGAACCAGTCCCCTCCTTAGATACAAAGGAAGAAACATAACTGACTCTCCTCCAAGCCAGTAGACCCCTGCAAAGAGTGATCATGTCGATAATCTTACTACAATATTGAACTCCCAGTTACCGACTCGAATCACGTTGCGGGATGAATCAATGTGGAGTGCAATGAGGCAAAAGTAAGAGCCCTAATAAAGAGAACCCATTCATGGCTGATGCCTATTCACTGCCTCTTTGTTGGAGGAACGCTGAGGCAAAACCATAGTGTTCATTAGTGACCCGCATTACTTGCCTTTTAAGAATCTTGAAATTTCGAAAGTTTTTCCAGTTATCTTTAATAAAAAAAATTATTTTCGCGAAATAAGAATTGGTTTTATCATGTATAATGCATAAAAGTACTATATTTTCTGCCTCGTTTATTATCTCATCTGTTAATAAAGTCCTTTCATGGCAACCTTCTTGAAGGAGGCTCCGTAGGGAGATTAGTTAACTCGTGGGAATAAAGGACCTAGAATGTAGAGGTTCCGCTATAAGTCTCGAATTACGATTAATGTCTAGGTGAGAATTACGGACCGGTCCCCTACTTAGATGCAAAGGAAGAAACATAACCGACTCTTGTAGACCCCTGCAAAGAGTGACCATGTCGATAATCTTACTACAATATTGAACTCCCAGCTATCGACTCGAACCATGTTACGGGACGAAACAACGTGGAGTGCAATGAGGCAGAAGTAAGAGTCCTAATAAAGAGTACACATTCTTGGCTGACGCCTTTCACTGCCTCTTTGTTGGAGGAATGCCGAGGCAAAACCATAGTGTTCATTAGCGACCTGCATTACTTGCCTTTTTGAACGTCTTGAAACTTTACAAACTTTCTTAGACTTTTTTATAAGACATTTAATTTTTGTGAGATACGATGAAAAAAAAAGAAAGATTATGACTTGACATAACTTATATAATTTATCGCGTATAAACACTACGTTACTCGAGTTGCACCAAATCTTACCAATCAAAATAAGAGTGTGGTAAATTATTATATACTGTATGTAAAAAAATGCAAAAAGTGAAAAAAAGGAAATTGATTCCTCTAATAAATAAATAACATTTATCACTAAGAATATATCTATATGATAAAAAACTTCTTTCTATATTAACCCTCAATACTGAAAGCCAAATATACATTAAAGATAATTTTTTTTATAATTTCATTATTTATTTAAATCTAATTCATTATCTTCTTCAAAATCTTCATTTAATTTACTATACAATGTGGAACATTCACTTTTGAAAAATTTTAATTATAATTTGATTAAAAATTTTGCTTATATAAAAAAATTTTTAAAATATATTTTTTAGAATCTAAAAAATTATTTTTTAAAATTTATTTTATAATTTTTTTAATATAATATTTTATTTTTTAAAGTTTAAAAAAACTATTTTAAAAAATATATTACAAATTTTATAAATAATTTTATTTATTTTTTTTTTTTTTGTATACCCATAGCCAGACTAAATCATTAGTTTATTAATCAATTGAAAACAAAAGTACATTTTTATTCGAGCAGCATAATACATACTACAGTTAAACTATTATTCCAATCTAACTAACTTGTCATAAGTATAAAAGTCTCTAAGTTCGACCTTGGTAACAATATTTCACTCTGCAATATCTTTGAGTAAAGACCCTCCTAGTTCACTGCATCATTGTCAGCAGGTTGTCACTATTGTATGTCTGACCAAGCCGCTGGAATACAGGAAACTACAAAAGGATGAGTTGAAAAAAGGAGAGGAGGGATATCTAAAAATATCTAAGTAGACCACAAGAAAATTAAAAAGTAAAAATTGAAAAAATATTTCCAGCTTCCTCTAAAGACCTGCTTTTCAAGACCTCTTCTCAATAAGAAATGCCCAATTAGAATATTCTTTCTTTTCCTGACCATCTGAGGAACTTATCTATTCTTGATCTTGATTTTCTTCTTGTGTACCATCTAAGGAGACTTATTGCTTAATAGAAACCTTTACTTCCAGGATATACTTGGTCCCAACCTTCTTTGGATAGTGATTTTTTATCCACCTATAGTATAGGGATGGCTTATGATGGACTCTAGATTCTTATGTGACCTAGTAGGGACTAGACCATGTTGTTTTAGTATAATACCTTTCAGCAGTCATGCCTAATTAAAGGAATTTTACTGATATATATCTTCCATTACCCAAAAGACCAGATTCCCCAATAATCCTTTTGCCTTGTAATAGTAAAAGGTTTATAAGAGTGGTAAGGGTCCTTGTCGATTGCGATATCCTTTAACAATTTCTAGGGAAATGCATTCTTAACTATAACCAAAGGATTGGAGCTTAGCATGGACTAGAGATCGTTTGGTCTTATTGCCTAACCGGGATGATAAAAGAGAAAGACCTCAGTTTGAACAAATAGTAGCTTTTTCACCACCTGGGGACTTGTTGCTCGTATCTTATTGGCCTCATGGTACTTGATTTATAGGTTCACCCAATTGGAAAAGTGATGTGAACACGAGGCACCAATTAACTTTTTCTATTACCAATGACATCATCGGAACATATGAGGTGACTAGTAGGTACTTGTTTACATTCAGCTACTAACATGTTTTGTATCCACCAATCATATTTTGCAATAAATTGTGTAACTTAAAATTCAGGGTCAAACTGAAGTAGGCAAAATTTCCCAAAAAATCAAAAAAATTTTGGGTAACTATAAGAGGAAAGAAACAGTGGGCAGACACTTTGAAATATGGCTTGATGTTCACCACTTCCCACTGCAGAAAATCTTTATAGATATGCTTCAATATGAAAGGTTTCAAGTAATACACTATTAGTTCTTCTTCCTTTCAAAACTTTCTTGCTGTAGGTAGCGAAGGTATTTCTTGACTTTTCTAGATCACAGGAAGTCAAGTTTTTGTTTGAAAATGAATATAAACAAGAGAAAGGGTTTGGAAGTATCTCTTAAAGTAAAACTTTA